ACGGAAATCTGTAGGGCAAAAGCAGCTTCAAGTTTAGAATTTGGTCTGCTCCTATTTTGCATCGTTTTTTTTTTTTTTTGGGGGGGGGGGCATTTAATTATTGATTATTATTTTGGTTATTTGATACCAAGGGCAGGATATGGAAAAATGTATTTTTTGTAAACATTAAATAAACAGTAAATTATCAGTAGTGCCCCCACTCCACAGGAATCTCTGACCCCGGGGATACACATTTCACAATTTACGAAAAGGCACCCTTGCTCATCATAAATGTTTGATTAATGCCAAGGAGTAGATTTTCAAGCACTTTTTCTGTATATAACCCTTGTATAATCATTAACCCCCTCCCTCCTCTATATCTCTCTGTGGTACTCCAGACCCAGATGCTTTGAAATTCACAATTCTGAAAGAAAGACCTTGCTCATCATAACTATGTAGGTAGTTCATTTGCTTAATACTCAGGAACAGAGGAGATGTTTTTTCCAAGACATGTTGGTTTTCACTATATATATAATTAACAGAGCTCCACCGTAACAAAAGAACAAGAGACCCAGGGGCCACTGGTTTGTTTTGGACAAGTTTAGTCGTTTCTTGGCGATTCATAGTCGTATGGGCTGTTAATTAATAATTGCCTTCCGATAAAATCCGATACTTCTTGTTTACGTGTAGTGTCAAATTTTCTTTTCTAGGTGATAAAATCGACTGTTTCTCTTCCAAACATAATTCCTTGCATTTTAGAACTACCCATGGTTGTAACAATCCAAAAGTAACTAATACATACAACTGTGGACAAAACACCTCATTAACCACGTGTCCTAATAAAGTTAGATATACTTAGATACATGCATGTATAGAGTAAGAGAAATACTTTCATTTGTGAAAACGATGTCTAAAACAAACGCGTTACCGAATCTTAATCTTAGCGACGCTGTTTTACGAATACTTTTTACACGAAAATGTACGTCTGGCCTGCACCGTTATGCCTAGGTCACATTTAAACCGATGGTCGGGCGACCAAATTTTTCTTGTATGGTCAGCTGAAAAAATATGATCGGTCGACACAAGAATCGGGCGACATGGAGCAGTCACATTAATTCCTAGGAACACCGATGAATTGGATAATTAAGAAAAATATTTTTTTTCTTCAGAAATCGGCAATATTTTCATAAATCTTTATTTAAATAGGAAACCTTAATGTTTGCAAGGTAAAGTGGTAGAATTATGTAAGATACAATGTTAAATAGTGTGCAAAATTTTGTATATAATTACAATAAAACAACAAAAGGCGCATATCTAAGCAGCAAAAAACATCGTCGTGCTTCGTGTGTTAACATTTGAACATTTCAGCTTCTTCTCTGAAACCACTTAACCAATTTCAACCAAATTTGGTATACAGCGCTTATGGGTGAAGGGGAACAAACATTGTGAATTTTATGTTCCTTGCCCCCTTCGGCCTGAAAGGGGGGGGGGACAACTAAATTAAATGATATCTTTAAAAATTTTCTTTACTCCTGGACATCAAGCAGTCAAACTGTTGGTATGAATGTAATGAGCATTAATTTCTCTACATAAATTGTGAAATTCATGGCCCCAGGGTCAGGGGTTCTAGTGCTAGGGCGGGGCTAAAGTGAAAATGCATTAATTCTTTTAAAATCTTCTCTGCTCCTGGTACTGAATAAACTAAGTACATAGTTATGATGAGCAAGAGTGCCTCTTCCAAAATTGTGAATTTTATGGCCCCAGGGTCAGGGGTTCTGGTATGAGGGTGGGGCTCTATTGATTATGTTGTGAAAATACATTAAATCTTTCAAAAACCTTTTCTCTGCTCCTGGGTATTAAATAAACTAAGTATATTGTTATAATGAGCAAGAGTGCCTCTCCCAAAATTGCGAATTTTATGGCCCCAGGGTAAGGTGATCTGGTGATAGGGCGGGGCTTTATTGATAATATAGTAAAAATGCATTTATTCTTCAAAAATTTTTCTTCTCTACTCCTGGGTATTAAATAATTAAGTACATACTTATGATGAATAAGAGTGCCTCTTTCAAAATTGTGAAGTTTATGGCCCAGGGTTAGGGGTTCTGGTGTTATGGCGGGGCTCTCTTGATTATATAGTAAAAATGCATTTATTCTCTGAAAATCTTCTTCTCTGCTCCTGGGTATTAAATAAACTAATAACTAAGTACATTGTTATAATGAGCAAGACTGCCTCTTCCAAAATTGTGAGTTTTATGGCCCCAGGGTCGGAGATTCTGGTGTTAGGGTGGGGCTGTTGATTATATAGTGAAAATGCATTTATTCTTCAAAAATCTTCTTGTCTGCTCCTGGGTATTAAATAAACTATATAACTATATATAGTTATGATGAATAAGAGTGCTTCTTTCAAAATTGTGAATTTTATGGCCCCAGGGTTAAATTCTGGTTTTAGGGCGAGTGCCATTCAAAACGTTTCACCCGTTCAAAGGACAAATAAAATGCTCGACTTTGTTGCCTAAATTTAGCGTTTCAAAAGTATCTGTAAATTGTTTTCCTTCCCCAGGTTTTATATTGCCCGTGGTAGTTATTGCATATTGCCAGTTTAAGAGGATTGTATTAGGAAAATCTTTATGTTATTTTTTGTAAATACAGTCTAAGCATCATTCTTCAGAAAAGGTTTCTAATTCAAAATAGCAGATATAATGAATAAAACTATGGGAGAAGTTAAGTCCATTTGAGGAAGAAATAAACAATAACCTGAAGAAATAAAAAAAAATCAACTATTAAAAGGCAAGAATATACAAATATATACAGGCATGTAGTATCATTATGCATATAAAATATTTTACACTTAATTAAAAAATGTGTACCCTACTCCCCAATACTCCCTCTTTTTATATGGAATATTTATAATTTTAATCATGATTTTATACAATGTCTACACATTCACCTAACACATTTTTCAAAAATCACATATATTGAAAGACTTTTAAAGAATTAATTTTTTAAAATATATTTTGACCAACATCACAAAATTTATATAACTGGCCCAAACTGGCAGATGATGAAATAAGCAATTAAATGTTCTACTTTCCTATTTGTAAGCATTATGTGTCCAGTGGTATGGAGCCTATTAGAATAGCATATGATAAAAAAAAAGAATGTACAAATGTTATATATTTATTGATTTATCAAAAAAAAATTTTATTTCCTTCTCCTTGGTGTCTAATTTAACCTTTATTAAACATGTTCATAACTAAACCTAAACATAAAAAAATGCTGGCCTTAGCATGAAGAACCTGTTTTATACGTAGATAATTTCAGGGCCGCTGGGATCAACTGAAAACGCGTTAATTCTTTGAAAAAATAAATTAATGCTTTGAAATCTGCCCTTTGATAAGCAATGGTACATAGTTAAAATTTGTGAATTTCATGGCTTTTGGATTAAAAGATGAACCAAATACAATCGCCCCAAAGTTGTTACATGATACTCAGGTGACCTATAAGGCCCGTGGGCCTATTGATTATATATTGAAAAGTTTTAACTTTGAATCTTCTCTGCTCCCGGATATTGAATAAACGCCAACTTAGTAAATATTATAGTACATATACTTTGAAAAATTAATGACCGACATCATAAACTGATTTTTCTTTAATAAAAAAAATAGTTTATTATTAGGTATGTGTATATTTTTTTTTATTAAAGAAAAATAAGTAACGTCAGGTGCCTGTGTTTCAATCTAATTAAAATGAGATGTTCAGAATCTGCTACCGCTCTTTAGATGTGGCATGTCAAACGTTGCAATATTTGATAATCTTGTGATGTATATTCAAAATCTTGTGATGTATGTTCGAAATCTTGTGATGTATATTCAAAATCTTGTGATGTATATTCAAAATCTTGTGATGTATGTTCGAAATCTTGTGATGTATATTCAAAATCTTGTGATGTATATTCAAAATCTTGTGATGTATGTTCGAAATCTTGTGATGTATATTCAAAATCTTGTGATGTATGTTCAAAATCTTGTGATGTATATTCAATATCTTGTGATGTATATTCTTAAACTTGTGATGTATATTCTATAATCTTGTGATGTATGTTCGAAATCTTGTGATGTATATTCGAAATCTTGTGATGTATGTTTGATAATCTTGTGATGTATATTCGAAATCTTGTGATGTATGTTCGGTATCTTGTGATGTATATTCGAAATCTTGTGATGTATATTCTATAATCTTGTGATGTATGTTCGAAATCTTGTGATGTATATTCGAAATCTTGTGATGTATATTCTATAATCTTGTGATGTATATTCAATATCTTGTGATGTATGTTCAAAATCTTGTGATGTATATTCAATATCTTGTGATGTATATTCGAAATCTTGTGATGTATATTCTATAATCTTGTGATGTATGTTCGAAATCTTGTGATGTATATTCGAAATCTTGTGATGTATGTTTGATAATCTTGTGATGTATATTCGAAATCTTGTGATGTATGTTCGATAATCTTGTGATGTATATTCGAAATCTTGTGATGTGTGTTCTACAATTCAGTGATGCGTGCAATAAAATTGCATGACGCAACAGAAAAGTAAGGACAATTTTCATTGGTTAGAAATAACGAAAGTAGCCGGAGCGGTCGTAATGCACACATTGACACAACTTCGCAAGCATGAAATTGACGAATTCAACCTAAAGTCAAAATTATAGGTAATAGAAAAATTGTTTTGGTATCAAGAAGCACTAAGTCAGTCATAACGTGAAAAGTGGGAATCAAGAACATTAATTTGATTTGTTTGAAGGTACATCAAAAACAATTTAGTGGCTTATTGCTGGACTAAACAGCTAAAGGATGTTTTATCCTATTTTTACGTCCTCATATTGTAGTGATGTTGATTAATCGGTATGATTTATTCTATATTGGTGCTAGTTAGAATAATCTAACTGTGTCTCGGGACAAACTCTCACCACGCAGGGTTCGAAATTGCATGGCCCATTGCAGCTGCATTGACCGTAGCCCTAGTCCAGGGACGACTTTGCAATAAATAAATAAATAAATAACACGACAAATTTTTAGGAGAAGGGGAATGTCTGGAAAAGATTAATTGCTATGCATCATTGAATATTGTCATTCACAAATTTGTCCAATTATTTTTATAGTAAATGTATTGAGCCGGGCTCATTTACAGGATAATGAACAAGGACTGTGGTGACAGTTTAAAATCACGTTCAGACGTTTAGAGAATATGTAATACACACAAAAATATCTCAATGGCATGTATAATATTAAATAGTTTTAAAAATAAAATAAAATATAGCTAGAAATTAACAGCGAAAAATATTTATCACGTATTGTGTCGGGGTAATCCGGCTTTATATACAAACAGAAGTAAATAAACACCGATGCAGCAAGATTAAGGTCAAACGTCTCTGCACTGATGTGTCCTCAGCGGGGAGATTTGCATTAAGTCATTAATGATGTTCCCTGCATTTGTGTTAGCCTGATAGTACAACCTTTATTTATAGAATCAATCTAATTCAAATTAGATGTTAGATCCGCTTGCATACTCGCTACACTAACATCTAACAACATCCCGTTGAGGGTCACGTCAGAGGTCAAATTCTATCAATTAATCAAATCGCAGCTGGCAAAATCATCATATATTGTTGAAGCGAATAAATCTTGAGGCGTTCCGAATTTAACCTCTTACGTGACCCTCAATGGGATGACTTGTTAGATGTTAGTGTGGCGAGTATGCGAGCAGATCTAACATCTAATTTTAATTATATTGTTTATAGAATATGATGCAGACAGGGATACCTGGTGAAAACCTTTCGCACCCGTTGAATTATACTTTGTAAAATATTAGTCAAAGGAGCCAGGAAAAAATATTAAACAATTTAATATTATGATAAAAATATTCAATTTACTATTTCTTAAGGTGTTGAATGGATTTTGTTTTCTCAACAGCGGCTGGTGCACGTACCATACTTTTACTCGTAAACTCAATTTGGCGGTGAAGAAGCAGCATTTTCTGTTGCTCACCGTCGCAATAGCTGAGCATTGCTCTACGAGCAATGTGCCCGGCTAAAAATCATAATATTTGTAATGATATATCATATTCTAGACTTGACATACAATAAACAATGATAAGAATTATTGTTGCATATCTGCAGTGATTTTCTTTGATCTTTCTGTGGTGATAATTTATCCCATAATATCACATGTGTGATAATACTTTCCAAACATGTTTCAAAGTTTTTACACTCTTTATCATACAGTTTTAAAGAACAGTTTTATGAGCTCATAAGTATATTAAATGGTTAATTTATCAAAACCTGCATTTAAAAATTCAGAAGTCTTAAGTTAAACCAAATTGTCCAGGGTATTCTTAGTAAGGTATGTCAAAGGTCATGGTTAAGTGACTTTGTAAGGCTGGTATTTTTTCTTTAGTTTTATGGCAATCAGTGCACATGGTAAATAGCATAAAATTACCCTTAAAGGTCTTATGCAAGGAGATAGCTAATTAAAATGAACAAATGTAGTTCTATGTATGATGTATATAGAGACAATAATATTTCTTTTCTTTTTTCATTTTCAGGAACTTTACGTAGGTCTACAGTTTTAATTTTGGACTCATGCACTAGGAATATCATATCAGCAGAATTGTGCCACTGAATCAAAGGGAACTCTTTTTTTTTAGGTACGCATGATCGATGTAACTTCCTCGATGGTGTGTTGGCTGTTTGCCCATGTGTATTTCGGGGTATAGGTATGTTTAGTCTCAATTTTCTTTCTTAAAAGCCGCATAAGGGGTATATTTTTTCTGATCTCAAATTTTGTCTAAGCATTAATCTTTTTTCTCATTCATGAATTATCTGCTGAGAGTCTAGTTAATTAATTTATTTAATTAAAGCTATATAGTAACATATAGTGAAATTATTTCCTTGTGTGAGACCTAAAGAAAATCAGGTTACTCATTTTTATGACAATTTCTTTGATTTCAGGAGTAGCCTCCCCTTTTAAAGATCAAAAATGGTGATTTTACAGTGCGGCATGCAGTCTGGTCTTCAACGAAGAGTTTTGACACCTGTAATACCCATATTTCTACCATTCACCTCTGTAACCTTTGTTGAGTTCATCAGACTGGTAAGAAAAACAATATTGTTAATTGAAATAATTTTATCAAGATAAATAAAATAATTAATGAAAAAAAAATTACATGAACACTGACTCCCTCATATAAGAAAATGTCACATTTTACACATTGCAATTATACATCATTTACATATTCACATTTTCCCCATTTACACATGCAGTTGAATAGATTTAGTGCTTAATAATACATAGCAACAATTATTACACGAATCCTAAGACAATTCACAAAATACATGAATGCATTAAACTGTGAAATACAGATTTCGTACATTTAATTAAAATGCACAGCATCAGAACCCCCCCCCCCCCTTTCACAATCTTGCAACTTTCTTTTTAATTCAAAGTCACTAGGCAACACTAAAGATTTCCACTTATTGCTTTTCTGTCCAAGACAGGAAGTTGAGGAACAAAGTTGACAGGACATCCTGAACTGTCTTCGCTACCAGCTTATGAGGGAACCAGCTGCAGTGGACAAAGTATGTTACATCATAGGATAATAGGTAAGTCTCCGGAGTAGTGTTTGTAGCAATTCTCGTACTTGGTCCTGCATCGAAGATTCAGGACTATTGATATTTATCTCTGCTTGGTTTGGTTCTTCCCAGAAACATGTTACTGGTGGTGGTCCCTATATTCTTCTGGCTTTTGTGGTGAGGAATGTTTCATTTCTAGCTCTTTTCTGATCACATTTTGTCTATCTAGCTGTTTGTCTGTCTGTCTGTCCATCTGTCTGTCTGTAAACTTTTCATATTTTCGACTTCTTCTCTAGAACCCATGGACCAATTTCAACCAAACTTGCCACAAAGCATCCTTGAGTGAAGGGGATTCAAGTTTGTTCAAATAAAGGGCCACACCCTCATTCAAGGGGAGATAATTGGGAATGAATGTAAATTTGATGGTATGTTTTAAAAATCTTGTTCTCAAGAACCACTGTGCCAGGAAAAATGAAACTTATGGAGAAACATCCTCAGGTAGTGTAGATTTAAATTTGTTCAAATCATGACCACCAGGGGGAGGGCGGAGCCACAATGGCTGACCAAAGTTTAACATAAAAATATATATAGGAAAATTCTTTAAAAATCTTCTTCTCAAGAATGACAAAGCCATAATTGATCCTATTTATATGGAAGCATCCTCAGGTAGTGTCGATTCAAGTTTGTTCAAATCATAACCCCCGGGGTAGGGCGGGGCCACAATGGAAGATCAAAGTTTTACATAGAAATATAAAGGAAAAATCTTTAAAAATCTTCTTCTCAAGAACAGCAAAACCCTGATTGATCATATTTATATGGAAGCATCCTTAGGTAGTGTAGATTCAAGTTTGTTCAAATCATGTCCTCGGGGGTAGGACGGGGCCACAAAGGATGATCAAATTTTATATAGAAATATATAGGAAAATTCTTTAAAAATAACCTTCTCAAGAAAAGCAAAGCCATGATTGGTCAAGGGACTACTTTTGGATTTAAACTTTTCAATAAAAAACCAATTTTTACTTTTTCCTAGCCACAGTGCTCAGGTGAGCGATGTGGCCCATGGGCCTCTTGTTTTTTTTTTTTTAAAAAAATGATCAATCATTAAATATAAATAAATCAGTTGTTAAAAAATTTGCTTCATATTTGAAGTGCCTTAAACCGACCCTCTGATGAAAGTGACCAGTGTTTTTTGCACCTTGGAAGGTTTATTGGTAAAATATAAGAAGGAAGTTACGATTTTGGTGTTACTATTGTTGTTATTTAAGTTTGATTCGATTTTTATATTACGAGTATTATGAAACTGTTATTTTGTTACTGACCGATGGTTAATTTTAATTGTGAACAAATGTACAAAGATGAGGAGTATAATATAGTTGGCTATGTATAATGCCCAATTTTTGAACATACTATGTAATAAATATTAATAACAACCTTTGAATAATTGGAAAGACAATATTATAAATATGATAGCATTTTTGTACATGAGCATACATTTTTGAAAGGAAAAATAAATTATTCAATTGCATTAAAAAAAATATTTTGTTTCATATTCTTGCGAATTATCAGATCATTCTTCTATTATTTAAATACTCTGTCATTATGAAACCTTGTTAATAATTAAGTAAATATTAATTGTACATTTGCACCAATTTTTACATGGCATTTTCACACTAAGAATGCCACGTGCAAAATTATATACAGGAACAATTCTGAACAAATATATGCAAGTGAGTTGTAAATTTGATATGTAATGCATACATTACAAAAACCCATGACAGTGTTCACTAAAATGAAATGTATGGACTCTTATATAAATACTTGGTATATGTGATATGGATATTATGGATGATATTTTTGAGAATGACACAAGTAATGAAATTTTTCAGCATTGAATTGGATTCTTGAACCAGAGCCATGTGAACCTGGTCCACCTGTACCTCTCATTGAAGACCTGTTAACATCACCAGAGTATGTTCATTCTGATACCCCTATGGTATGGTTACAGCATGCATTATCCCTGAATCCATTAAAAGAGCTGCATTGGCAATGAAACAACCCAATGTGGTCGATTGTAAGGAAACATAGCATATCAGCTTCCAACTTTGGTGCAGTTCTCAGTTCTAAGCAAAGGCGGTAAGACGTGTGATTAAATTTTTGCGAAATAGACTTTTAAAATTACAGTCAAACTTTGTTACCTCAAACCCATTATCTCATATTTCATGGATATGTCAAAGTAATTTTGAAGTCCAAACCATTTATAAAAGACTGGGACATTTTATTCTTGATAACTCTTTATGTATTATTCTTGAATCCACGGATATTTCCAACATTTTTCTTGGTCTCATTGAGTTTGAGATAATGAGGTTCGACTGTAATGACTAGATATTTGTACATAAAGATGCAGGAAATATTATAAGATTAATAACCAAAAATCATATTTTCTTCTCCAGATTGACATTGTCACTGAAGAAACAGCTGATGTCGGCTTACAATCTGGAGTCCATCAAGGCTGTTGCATGGGGTATCACTCATGAAGATGATGCTTGAGATGATGAGATGCTTTGAGAAAGTATGAAAAGGACTTTGATGCAGCTGTAGAGCAGTCAGGTATACAGCACAAAATAACATTCATTCAACCTCTGACATGTTAACATTCAATGTGTCAAAACAAATAACAGGACTTATCCTGGTAAAAAAACAGAAATCAATTACTGAAGTCTAATTGTAAAAAAAAAACTAGAAATATGTCCATAGGACATGAATGCCCCGCCGAGGATATATTAGTAAAGCAACATGAAATTTGTACATGTATAAAATTTGATCAGTTTGGTTCAGGCAGGGCTTATAGTTAGTTGGGAATAAAAATGTAGGTCCAGCATCCAAAGCAAGTCTGGTAGTGTCCATCCCTAGATGCATCATCCATGCAAGTTTGGTTCAGGTAGGGTTTATAGTTACTTGGGAATGAAAATATAGGTCAGATCCAGCATCCGAAGCAAGTCTGGTAGTGTCCATCCCTAGCTGCATCATCCATGCAAGTTTGGTTTAGGTAGGGCTTATAGTTACTTGGGAATGAAAATGTGAGTCAGATCCAGCATCCGAAGCAAGTCTGGTAGTGTCCATCCCTAGATGCATCATCCATGCAAGTTTGGTCTAAGTAGGGCTGATAGTTCCTTAAGAATAAATCTGCTCCAAAAACTTCAACCTGGTCACTCATCTGGAAAATGTAGGTCAGATCCAGCATCCGAAGCAAGTCTGGTAGTGTCCATCCTTAGATGCATCATCCAAGCAAGTTTGGTCTAAGTAGGGCTTATAGTTCCTTAGGAATAAATCTGCTCCAAAAACTTCAACTTGGTCACTCATCTGGAAAATGTAGAACAGATCCAGCATCCGAAGCAAGTCTGGTAGTGTCCATCCTTAGATGCATCATCCAAGCAAGTTTGGTCTAAGTAGGGCTTATAGTTCCTTAAGAATGGACCTGCTCCAAAAACTTTAATTTGGTCACTCATCTGGAAAATTTAGGTCAGATCCAGCATCCGAAGCAAGTCCGATAGTGTTCATCTCTAGATGCATCATCTATGCAAGTTTGTATCAACATGTAAAGTTTGATAACACCATCTTGAATGGTATGTTTAAAACAGAGCTAAACACTATTTAAGAAAAGTCAGGTCAAGGTCAAAGGAAAGGTCAAGGTCAAAAAATGTTGATGCAGTTGCATAGCTCTCATCAATATCTATCAGCATATGAAGTTTGATGAAAATATCTTGGATAGTTTCTTTGAAACTTAGCTTTGAACAGAGCTAAACACAAAGTGGGACGGAAGGACAGAAGACAGACATGACAAACACTATATGCCCCGGCCATATTCATGGCGGGGCATAAATATTCAGTTACCAACATATTCCAGAAAATTTGCTTTTTGAAGTAGAAGGATTATGAAAGCTCTACTTAGACTTTGTTTGCATTACAAAATCAATTGTATTATGGTTTGTTTGCATTCAGTAGTATTATAATTTTTTCTGGAAAGGATATGGTTGCATGAATCCGGAGTGTTGGGAGCTTCACCTGATGGCTTCTTAGTTGTTCGACCACCAACATGCAGTGTATTTTATCAAACTCCAGAAGCCAAAGACGCCATTCCTGATATTGTAGAGGTGAAGTGTCCATATACAGCATCGTCTTCAACAGTAGCAGATGGGGCACAAAATTTGAAGGATTTTTCATAGGTAAATAACATTAAAAATCTGTATTGTCCAGTACTTTGAAATTAAAAATCTTGGTGAGTAAATGATTTCAAAACATGTATTAATTTACAAGTGCAGCTGTTCAATATGGTATGAAGATATTGAAAAAGGAGGGGATATGTACTGGTATGACACAACTTAAGTGTTTTTTGATTTTTTTTTAGATCTTAAACAAGATACCCTGTGCCTGAAAACCAGTCACCCGTACTATCATCAAATTCAAGGCCAGCTACACATATGTAACAAAACATTCTGCGACTTAATTGTGTGGACAAGAGTAGACTGCATTGTGATTAGAATAGTAAAAGACATTGAATGGACAGCAAATGTTCCAAAGCTGATAGATTTCTACATTAACATTTTCATTCCAGCACTGATGGAAAACTGAGTTCTGGTTTGAACTTCTTGACACTTAGTTTTGTACCTCTAGAATTTTCTAACAATGGAAAATGGGTAATCATGTTAAATGTGTTGAATGTTCCCAAGTCTCATAAATGTATGATATGTCACAATCCAATGAATCCATCATAAAACTTCTGGCTTATAAGACTATTTTAAATAGCAATGATGATTAATAAAATCTATGTACTACATAAAAAAAGAATATCAAAATTTAGAATCATTTTATTAATGAATTGAAGATGTTATTCTCAAAGTGAAAATGTAACATTTTTGTCTTTCTTAATAGATAAATTGTTGAAAACATGAATTTGTTGAGTTGTGCTTTAAAGGTAAATATACTTTAAACTAGAGATTTAAAATTATAAGTAAACCCTCTTCCAAATTATATTGTCAAATGAAGAATCGAATTGCCAAACATTCTTGTAATAAATCCATGCTAAACAAAAGGGATTTTCATTTTCTGAAGTACATGTATTACAACATACTAAGTACTACAAAGTTAACAAATATAACCATTGACATTGATAACAAATCAAAATTTGCTTATCCCTTGCACTTTGGTATGAATATCTTCACTGTTTAGTGTATACTGTCACACGCCAATGCAAATTTATAATAAGTACATGTATCTTTAAGTAATTTCTTTCAAAAGTGGAGCTTGCAAGTTTACAAGACAAGAACAGAGTTGAAATATTTTTGTTGAGATTGGTCTGTAAGTAGATGGTATGTGACGGAGAATCTCGTAATTCTTTATCCTCTCGTTGGCTCTTTCCACATGAATAAGTGCTTTAGCAATCTTGTAACAGTGCTGCTTCTTGTATGGTAAACTGGCCTCGTGTCGATAAAAGAGCTTTTATAATTAAGCAGACACCCTGGGGCAACTGGTCATGAATGGTGAAACCTTTGACCACCAAAATAAGGTCTCCAGCTTTGAACTTTCGTAAAACTTGGCTGTGACGTACAATAGCTACATCAGAAGTAGAACCTGGGTACAGCATGGAGCAAAATGTAAGTGCACCATTTGGAGGCACGCAAGTTACTGCTTTAAAAGTATGGCAACTTTTGTACATACTGTAGGCCATGGCCTGATTATCCATATGTGTTGGGATGTCCTGGGTTGTTTCATTTGCATCCATGGATGCTCTAGCAGAGGAAAAATCCTCAAAAGATTTTGGCAGAGACCCTGAAAAAAAGTTGGAAAAAAATTAATTTGATTATTTGTAATTGTGTAAAAAAATTGTGTTACAGTCAATCTTTCAAGAATACAATAAATTTAACTGCATTAAATTTTTGCAAGTCATTATGATAAATTTTAAAACAAACCTTTGCATTTAAGCCGACTTGGAAAACATTCTACGCTACATTCTACACTACGCCATCAGACAGCATCTTGTATAGGGAAAAGACCACTAATTATTTTCCCATAGAACTCCATACAAACCTTAGGCCCTCTCAGTACTTTACTATGACAATTTCAGAAAAATCTTTAGCATCATTTCAAACTTTGTTCTAAGCCCTAACAAAAAATACTGAAAAAAATATATGGTCCCATGGCGTTTATAGGTCAAAATTGCAGTTATTTTCAACTTATAGAGATTCGCAGTAAATAACACGCGGCATAAAAAATTAACCCCCACTCCTAAAATCTTCCCTGGCATTTCTATAGTTTCTGTAATATTCCCTCATCCCATCATTTATTTCAAAGGTCATTAATTTTACTTTAAAATGAAAACAATTAAATACCTGATTTCAGCCAATGGCGTAACGCCTACCCATTCAGTATTCGGTTTAATGTTCCATAACAAACAAAGCCATGTGTGCATCCGGGGATTTGGTGCTCTCATTCCTATACTTACATACTTACCTGTCCCAGAATTAGTCAATTGTGGTAATTTCAAAGACTATACACCTACCTGTGAACATGTATGAAATTTGAGTCCTGTGACTTCAGTGTATTGGATACTGTGACCATCTCAAATGATGACACCTTACTGCTACCAGCACAATTCAAAGGAGTGAATGACGTCTGGGCCGGTGATGATATTTGGATATATTGGTGACTGTAATAAATAAAATATTTGTACAATGAATTGTTTTTGTGCTTTGATGTTAATAAAGTGATATTAAGTCAAAATTGAGTCAATAATTTCATAAGGGTGGATTCTACCCAGAATTAGGTAAAAAGCTCCAAAATTGGATAAATCATAGTTAATTAAGCAAAATTCAAAGGTTTTAAAAAGACTGATATAGAATTTTTTTATGCTTATGCAAAGTATATTTTTTAAGACTCTGATATACTAATTGATTCTTATCTAATCCCTCCTATTGCTTAAGTATGTACAAAAAAGTTTCCCCACCCCCCAGTGAAAAACACTTAAAGAAATAGCAGGTGCCCCCTTTTATTTTTGTTTACAATTAATTTAGACAAGTTTAAATCAATCCTTTTGATAACAAATCAAAGTTCAATGTCTGTAGTCTTATACATTACAATCAGAAGCTACTTTTTGAATTTTATTCTAAGAAAAGGAGAATTTAAATAATTTTTTTTAAAAATTAAAGAAAAGCAAAAACTGAACCCAAAATGTACTTTACAATAAGAGGCTGGAAAGTTAATAAATAAAATTTTTACCTGCAATGTACAGAAAACTGTCCGACAAAATACGTCGGGTGGGTAGGGAGTCTCCATTTTCTTCTTATATAGAGAAAATGCCCCTGCTGATCAGAGACCTAAACTCCCAAATAATAACAAAATATGTTAACATAACAGTCAATCTAAGATGTTCATCCCTCAATGGCAACAAGTTTTCATTACAGTAACTGAAATTGTTAGGAAATAGGAAATCACAATTGGAATTCCTTTAAATGTACCTTCTCTTCGTTGTATTTAATATCGTGGATTGATATTGGCTTCCTTTTACTAGACTCTATTTTTAGGGCAAGCAATTCCTTTTCCAGTTGTATTTCTGTTGAGAGGCGCTGCATTTCTTGAGTACAGTTAAATGTGCAGGATGCTGAGTAGTTGTGCTCTGATATCAACTGAAAATATATTGTAAATCATGTACAGTTAAAAGAACTTTATATATTATTAAAAATTATTGAAAATGTTTCAGTGTTGGTCATTTGTCATCATTGGTGTTTTAAATGAGCTTTACTTTTTCTTGATATTGACATTTTGGTGCTTGTGGAATCTGCAACTGGTCCATCTGTGAAGATGACAGGGACTCCTCACTTTTGAGTTTTTTCCTCCTTTGTAAAATAATTAAACTTGAATTATTTTTTTATTCAGTTGTAAGCTACTCTGTTTATACATGTACCCTTTTAAAGATTTTTAGTAAAATATTCTCAATTAAACTCCACCCACCCACCATCCAAAAACAAGATGTCGGTCATATTTTGAAAAATAATTTCACCTTTTTGTACATTCAGGATCAGAGAAATCCATGGCCTTTCCTTCATTCCATGCAAAATATGCAGGGTCCCCCTCCTTCTTACCATCCTTAAAGTGGCAGGAGCAGATGCGATCATTCTGATCTCCTGGTTGGCGATCAGCTCATCTAAAAATATACATTATACAAAGACTGAGTGAAGGAGAATTAAAAAGCAAAACATGTTCATTTAGCATGTTATTATCAAATAGCCTGAATGACTTATTTTTTCATTATTTTTTTTTTTAAATGTTACATTTACTTGCAAGTACAAGATAACCATGTGCATAACATTAACTAATCCGAGATTCCTCTGACTCTAACCCCCGCTTTTATCAATAATTTGTCAATACATCTACGTTTACTGAGTTTTTTCCCTAGCAGGCCGAAATATCTCCATCATGTCACCAGGAACAACACTCGTGCATCTCGTAATTAGTGCTGCAATAAACAAACTTATGTGTTTTTTCTCACCTGCATGGTTTTCCCGACGCTTCAGCTACTTTCGTTATTTCTAACCAATGAAAATTGTCCTTACTTTTCTGTTGCGTCATGCAATTTTATTGCACGCATCACTGAATTGTAGAACACACATCACAAGATTTCGAATATACATCACAAGATTATCGAACATGCATCACAAGATTTCGAATATACATCACAAGATTATCAAACATACATCACAAGATTTCGAATATACATCACAAGATTTCGAACATACATCACAAGATTATAGAATATACATCACAAGATTTCGAATATACATCACAAGATATTGAATATACATCACAAGATTTTGAACATACATCACAAAATATTGAATATACATCACAAGATTATAGAATATACATCACAAGATTTCGAATATACATCACAAGATTTCGAACATACATCACAAGATTATAGAATATACATCACAAGATATCGAACATACATCACAAGATTTCGAATATACATCACAAGATTATCAAACATACATCACAAGATTTCGAATATACATCACAAGATTTCGAACATACATCACAAGATTATAGAATATACATCACAAGTTTAAGAATATACATCACAAGATATTGAATATACATCACAAGATTTTGAACATACATCACAAGATTTTGAATATACATCACAAGATTTCGAACATACATCACAAGATTTTGAATATACATCACAAGATTTTGAATATACATCACAAGATTTCGAACATACATCACAAGATTTTGAATATACATCACAAGATTTTGAATATACATCACAAGATTTCGAACATACATCACAAGATTTTGAATATACATCACAAGATTATCGAATATTGCAACGTTTGACATGCCATACTCCTCCTACAGTTTTGGTCTGATTTTAATATAACTTGGCACACAAGTAGACTACACTAAGATACATAATTCTATGTATCGGTTTTTGATTTCGATGAACAGTGTTGCCGTGGTTACTAAAAATAGAAATTTCTGTGAAATTCTTTCAAAATGCTACTTCTCCTACAGTTTTGGTCTGATTTCAATATAACTTGGCACACAAGTAGACTACACTAAGATACATAATTCTGTGTATCGGTTTTTGATTTCGATGAACGGTGTTGCCGTGGTTACTAAAAATAGAAATTTCTGTGAAATTCTTCCAAATGCTACTCCTCCTACAGTTTTGGTCTGATTTCAATATAACTTGGCACACAAGTAGACTACACTAAGATACATAATTCTGTGTATCGGTTTTTGATTTCGATGAACGGTGTTGCCGTGGTTACTAAAAATAGAAATTTCTGTGAAATTCTTTCAAAATGCTACTCCTCCTACAGTTCTGGTCTGATTTCAATATAATTTGACACACAAGTAGACTACACTAAGATACATAATTCTATATATCAGTTTTTGATTTCGATGAACGGTGTTGCCGTGGTTACTAAAAATAGAAATTTCTGTAAAATTCTTTCAAAATGCTACTACTTCTACAGTTTTAATCTGATTTCAATTTAACTTGGCACACAAGTAGACTACACTAAGATACATAATTCAATGTATCGGTTTTTGATTTCGATGAATGCTGTTGCCGTCGTTACTAAAAATAGAAATGTCTGTGAAATTCTTTCAAAATGCTACTCCTCCTACAGTTTTGGTCTGATTTCAGTGTCACTTGGCACACAAGTAGACTACACTAAGATACATAATTCTGTATATCGGTTTTTGATTTCGATGAACAGTGTTGCCGTGGTTACTAAAAATAGAAATTTCTGTGAAATTCTTTCAAAATGCTACTCCTCCTACAGTTTTGGTCTGATTTCAATATAACTTGGCACACAAGTAGATTACACTAAGATACATGTACATAATTCTGTTTATCGGTTTTTGATTTCGATGAACGGTGTTGCCGTGGTTACTAAAAATAGAAATTTCTGTGAAATTCTTTCAAAATGTTACTTCTCCTACAGTTTTGGTCTGATTTCAATATAACTTGGCACACAAGTAGACTACACTAAGATACATAATTCTATATATCGGTTTTTGATTTCGATGAACAGTGTTGCCGTGGTTACTAAAAATAGAAATTTCTGTAAAATTCTTTCAAAATGCGACTCCTTCTACAGTTTTAATCTGATTTCAATTTAACTTGGCACACAAGTAGACTACACTAAGATACATAATTCTATATATCGGTTTTTGATTTCGATGAACGCTGTTGCCGTGGTTACTAAAAATAGAAATGTCTGTGAAATTCTTTCAGAATGCTACTCCTCCTACAGTTTTGGTCTGATTTCAATGTCACTTGGCACACAAGTAGACTACACTAAGATACATAATTCTGTATATCGGTTTTTGATTTCGATGAACGGTGTTGCTGTGGTTACTAAAAATAGAAATTTCTGTGAAATTATTTCAAAATGCTACACCTCCTACAGTTTTGGTCTGATTTCAATATAACTTGGCACACAAGTAGACTACACTAAGGTACATAATTCTTTATATAGTTTTTCACTTCAATGAACGGTGTTGCCACGGTTACTAAAAATAGAAATTTTTGTTTAATACTCTCAAAATGCTACTCCAAATACAGTTTTAGTCTGATTATAATGTAATGTGGCATGCAAGTAGACTACACTAAAACATAAAGAGACTTAATCAAGGATCATTTTTCTATTAATTGCTGTTGAAAAGTTTCAATTCCCAACTGCCTAACTTTTGCTATAAGTACAAACCAGTAGAGCTTCAGTCTCGACAGAGACTTCTGGTTTGCTTCCAAAACCGTCGGCGCCGTTGGTCATTTTTAGCTCTACTGGTCAGAGACCAGAAGAGCTTATGCGATAGTAATGCGTCCGTCCGTTTGTCTGTCTGTAAACAATTTTTCAAAATGCTACTCCTCCTTCAGTTTTGGTCCGATTTCAATATAACTTGGCACACAAGTAGACTATACTAAGATACGTAATTCTATGTATCGGTTTTTTTATTTCGATGAACGGTGTTGCCGTGGTTATTAAAAATAGAAATATCTATGAAATACTTTCTAAATGAATTCATCCTACAGATTTGGTCTGATTACAATATAACTTGGCACAAAAGTAGACGTAACTAAGATATACATAATTCTGTGTATCGGTTTTTGATTTTGACGAACGGTGTATTCGTGGTTACTAAAAATAGAAATTTCTGTGAAATACTTTCAAAAATGCCACTCTTCTTACAGTTTTGGTTTGATTTCAATATAACTTGGCACAAAAGTAGACCACTAAGATACATATTTCTGTGTATCGGTTTTTAATTTCATTGAACGGTGTTCGCATGGTTACTTAAAATAGAAATTTCTGTTAAATACTTTTAAAATGCTGCTCTTCCTACAGTATTGATCTGATTTTATTATAACTTGGCACAAAAGTAGACTACACAAGATACATAAATCTTTATATCAGATTTTGATTTCGATGAAATGGTGTTGACTTGGTTACTAAAAATAGAAATTTCTTTGAAATACTTTTACTTAAAAATGCTTCTCCAAATACAGTTTTAGTCTGATTATGATATAATTAGGCGTGATAGTAGACTACACAAAGATTCATTATCAGTTTTGTGTGTTTGAATTTGATGAACGATGTTGCCATGGTTACTAAAATTGAAAATTCTGTAAAATGTTATTAAAAGCTGCTCTTACAGTTATAGTCATATTGCAATCTTGCTACAAAAAGAGACTTAATCAAGGATCATTATTCTATTTATTGCTTTTGTACATTTTTTTGTCCCAACTGCTACTTTTCTCTTCCTTTATTGTAAGTACAAACCAGTAGAGCTACAGTTTTGACAGAGACTTCTGGTTGGAAATGTGACTGGGGTTTTAGATGTATAGTATACACCAAACTTAGTTCCATATTTCTTGTCTCATCTGTATATATATATATATGGTCACTTTACCTCTATTTAGAGACTCGCTCAGCTGTTTTTGAGCTAGCACAAGTCTTTCAATCTTCATATTTTTAGGCCCTCTTAGAAGATGGGGGGGGGGGGGGGGGGCAAAAATGCTTTGCTGCTTTCCGTCGGACCTCCGTTAGTTTCCGCTTATTTTCTTCGCAGAGGTTGTACATATTGAAAAGAAATTTGATATACAGATTTATCATTATAATTTTTAAGTCAGGTTTTGGTTTGGGTATGATTGGGCCATTTTGGACACAGTTATGCCCCTTAAACTTGGAACAAGATGTATTTGTGAAACACTATGCGCCCGGCGGCAACAAAGTTCGGAAAAAGCTATTTTAGCATTAAGGTCACAGTCAAGGTCACAAGGTCATTGACCTTGGTGTCATTTGGAAGAACCTGATTAGTGGAGTTTGCATACCAAATATGAAGTCTTTATCTTTCATGGTTCAAAAGTTATGGCGAAGGTTAAAGTTTGCTGAAAAAAAGCTATTTTTAGCATATAGGCCACATTAAGGTCACAAGGTCATTGACCTTGGTGTCATTTGAAAGAGCTTAATTAGTGGAGTATGCATACCAAATATGTAGTCTCTATCTTTCATGGTTCAAAAGTTATGGTGAAGGTTAAAGTTCGGAACAAACAAACAAACAGACAGACAGACAGAGTGTCGTTTGGAAGAACCTGATTAGTGGAGTTTGCGTACCAAATATAAAGTCTCTATCTTTCATGGTTCAAAAGTTATGGCGAAGGTTAAAGTTTGCTGAAAAAAGCTATTTTTAGCATATAGGCCACAGTCAAGGTCACAAGGTCATTGACCTTGGTGTCATTTGAAAGAGCTTAATTAGTGGAGTATGCATACCAAATATGAAGTCTCTATCTTTCATGGTTCAAAAGTTATGATAAAGGTTAAAGTTCGGGACAAACAAACAAACAGACAGACAGACAGACAGGACAAAAACAATATACGCCCTAGATCTATCGATCCGGGCGCATAAAAATTCCAATAATTTGCAGTAAAGTTCATTTCCTTCCCAGAAGTTGCACTTAATGAGATGAATTTTGGTATATAGATTTATCATAAGAATATCTAGATCAAGTTCTGTTTTGGATATGATCGAGCTTTTTTGGACAGAGTCATGTTCCTTGGACTTGGAAAAATTTCAATAATTTGCAGTTTTCGTTCATTTTCTTCCCAGGGGTTGCACATTTTGAAATGAAAT